CCGGGCTTCGGCAGGCGCTCGACCCCTACGGGACCCACACAGACCACCCTCAGCCCAGCCCGACGGTGGTGCTGCTCCCTCGGTGAGCGCCGGAGAGCAGGACCCTCACAAACGCCCGTTCAGAAGCCTCCTGCCCCTGCGCTCAGCCTGCCTCGGAGTAACCCAGGGCCTGTGAGCGTGGATGGCCAGGCCCACCCGACTCCCCTAGGGGCGTCTGACCTAGATCTGGGCGGGTCCTGAGACTCTGCCTTCCTCACTCGTTTTCAGGGGACACTGGTGCTGCTGGTCTGGGGGCCACACTTTGAGGACCTCAGAGCTCCATCCAGCATGTAGTGCTAGAACGTTCCACTCCTGCTCCAGGCCCCCAGGAGAGAGGGGGAAGGGGCCTCCGCTCCTCCCACTTCACTGGTGGGCTGCTCGGGTCAGCAGGCTCCATTCACACGTGCTCCTTCCTATGGGAGCCGATGTGTTCTTTGTGGGCAAGCAAAGACACAGCAAACACGCTCCCCTCCCCTTCCGGCACCATGACCAACGCTCCTGTGGCCTCCAGCGTTCTCTCCTGGTGAACTTTGGGGTCGCCACAGCTACGTTCCGGGCAGCGCCGCCAACTGATTGGAGCTGGCCTGGGGAGCTAGCCTGTTCGCCACCCGTGATCCAGAAGGCATGTGGGGAGGAGGCGGGCAGGGGCTTTGCAGATCATGGAAAACTATAGCTGGAAATCAACGCCCCTCCTCACTTTGCTGCCTTTCTGGATGGGCCCACATGGCACAGAGCTTCAAGGTCTTGCTCCCTTAAGTGAGCACCCAGAAGCCCAGAAAAGCCTGTGGAGCCCTGCAGCCCCCTCCTGTCAGCACCTGCTGCCACCCCACACCTCCCCTAGGAGCCCTGGGCCCAGCAGAGCAAGAGACCCGGACAGTGAGCAGCGCACAGCGGGAGGCCCGAGGCCTCAGCTCCCACTGGCTCAGAATAGCCCAGACGTTGGAAGGTGGAAGGCCTCTTTGCTACCTCCCTTCCCCTCAGCTGCAGACCGGAAGCCCTGGTGGGTGGGGAGAAGCCACTGGGGAGAGGGGGGTCCATTCTGGTGCCCAGTCTCCGCACACCCAGTGTCTGGCTGCACTGCTGCATCCCGGGTGCCGTGGAGCCTACAGCTGCTTGAGTCCTTGCAAATGAATCCCTTCTTCCCAGGAGGGAAAGGCAGCTATGGCGATTACACCTGTCTCTCAACTGGATCCCATGTCCTAAGCGCATTGGCCACCAGGAGCGGTTAGGTGAGCTGAGAGAGGACGGGACAAGCGGCCTTGTTTCTCCTGGAAAGAGATGCCACTGCAGGGACACAGCCCGTCAGGGGGAAGGAGAAAGAGGCACTTGGTGGGTTGTTATTCCCTAGAATCGCTAGAAACCAAGGAAATTGGGGTGAGCAGCCTCGCCCTGGCACAGAGCTGGCATGTGCTCAGGGGCCTGTGAGCAGGCGGGATGGGCGACCATGCCCTGATGTCTATTAACACAGGCGAAGTGGCATTTGAAGTCAGCATTCACACTAGACTGAGCGTGTAGGCAAGTCAACATGCTGCGTTTAAAACAAACAAAATAGCTATTTACCCGGTCTCTTCTGTACGTGTAGGATTGCTTTTTTAACCCTCAACAGAAAGCAAGATTTATTTCTGTTTAAATGTTAAGTTATGTAAGACCTATCGTTTCCATCTATCGAGATGATTTCCAAACCCAGCCTAACTATTGCCATGTTAGCGTTCCCTCCCTGCATGCCACTGCTCCATTCTGTCCTGCCTTCTCTGTCCTCACCCACAGTTCAGATTGTGGAGCAGACCTGGGTGGACACGTGCTGTGGCTCACCACCAGCCTGACACAGGGCCAGCAATCAACATGTACGGCGTGTCCACTCAGACAACTGCAAACCACTGAACTATACGATCTTGCACTGGCATTTCTGCGTTCTCCCACGAGGCTGGCTTCGTTGGAGTCGCTGTCAAAATGAGGAGAGAGTGAGTCTGTAGTGTTCCTGGGAGCTGAGTCCAGCTGTGGGCAAACTACGGCCCGTTTGAAATGAATAAAACTAAAAAAAAAAAAAGACCGTACCCTTTTATGTAATGATGTTTACTTTGACTTTATATTAGTTCGCACAAACACTCCATCCATGCTTTTGTTCCGGCCCTCCGGTCCAGTTTAAGAACCCATTGTGGCCCTCGAGTCAAAAAGTTTGCCCACCGCTGGTCTAGTCCCTGGTCACAGAAGAAAATGAGGTTGGCTGCTCTGTGTAGGATGACCAGAGGGACTTTCCTGGTCTTAGCGCTGGAAGTCCCTTGTTTTAGGAGCTGTCAGTCTTGGGGAGACCTGGAATGGTTGGTCACCCTAGCCTAGTGAACTCTTTCCTTTTTTAAAAATATTTTTTTATTTATTTCAGAAAGGGAAAAGGAGAGATAGAAACATCAATGATGAGAATCATTGATTGGCTGCCTCCTGTACTCCCCACACTGGGGATCGAGCCTGCAAGCCGGGCATGTGCCCTGACCGGGAATCGAACCGTGACTCCTGGTTCATAGGTCAATGCTCAACCACTGAGCCATGCCGGCTGGGCTAGTGAACTCTTTCTAAATGTACCAAGCCATCTTCCTTGCTCCCTTTCTCCTCGCTCCCTCCTAATCACAGATATTTCATGAATTTGACTATGTGGTACGCGCAGTTCTGGGAACTGGGGGTGCAGATGTAATTCTGAACCCGACTTTGCATTTTAGAGAGGGGAGAAAGCTGGTGAGCAGGCCCAGTCAGTAAATATACAGTACGCTGGAAGGTGATGGCATGGGAAACAATGTCAGAGAGGGAGGAGGATGAGAGGGGATGTGAGGGCTCACTTAGGGTGCTCAGCACAGGCCTTGTTGAGAAGGTGCCATTTGGGAGAGAACCGAGCAGTTATCTGGGGGAAGAGTGATCCAGGCAAAGAGAATAGTATGGGTGAAGGCCAAGAGCAAGGAGGGAGGGGGAAGAGTAATGGCCCAGATCAGAGAATAGCTAGGCAATTGCTCTGAGCCTTTAGGCCATGGGAAGGACTCAGGCCTTCCTTTCCAGCAAGAGGGGGGCCCACAGGAGGGTCCTAAACTGACTTGACTAAAGGGATCCCTCTGGTTGCTAGACTGAGAACAGCACAGAGGTACGGGGGTGTGAGGTGTTGAGTGGGGAAGCAGAGAGGCCAGTTAGGAGTCAGCCCACTGTGGTTACCATCTCAGTTTAAGCACTGCTTCTAGGACTTTGCCCGGGATGGACATCAAGCACACCTCTGGTATTCTCTAAACCTATCCTTTCCCCCATTTTTGAAAATCAAAGCCACATGTACTCTTTTGCAGGCTCCTGACCCCTCTGCCTTTCCCCTGAATCATCTACAGCAGCTCACAGAGATCAAAGTTCCAGCCCGTTGCACATCTGTCAGTGCCCCGCCTCGTAACACAGAACCCGGAACTCGTGCCAGGTAGCGAGGAAGGAGCCCCACTGGCCTCCCGTTCCACCTTCGTTGTGTTTGTCATTCAAGCATGTCATTCCAAGGGAGAGACAGCAGTGGCTGGAGGAGTCCCCGTCCTGCCCTTGCTCCGTCACCATTGACAAGCCTTTGGCTGTTCCAGGCCTGATGTCTACCTTCCTTCTTGATGGTTTTACTAAGAGAACCCTTGTGTGCTCCTCATGGGTTTCCCACGTGTCAGGTCACGTGCTTTAATCTCCCCACCATGGTCCTCACCCACTTGTGCTTTCCTTCTGCAATTGCCCTTTGATCAACACCATCTCCTTGTATTTTTATAGAATCGTGATGATGGCTGACGTTTAGCACCTACTGTGTGCTAGCCATTCTAGTACAGATTTCACACACGCCATTTATTTCATCCACAGCCGCCTTCTCAAGTACATACTATTATCCCCATGT